CGTCGCTTGGTTAATAACAGATTTATTATACGACTGAAGTTCAAAGGGACACGAGTGCGGCATCATTCGGGACCATTCGGGACAGTGCCCGGTCCAATACTGAGAGAATATTGACCGGCAATAGAGCATTTTGATTGGTTGATTTTAGTTATTGGCCCTCTGACTGCCCGAGTCGTGTAATATTGTCATTTTTTGTGTTTTCGTAGTTCCCTTTTCGGCTTTGTTCTTACCTCTGTAGTGTCTCTCCACTCCGTAAAATTCAGTTTTATTCGATGATTGTAAAGAAGCTTTAAATTTGATCAATTCCAATTATTAGACAGAATGTTAATTTTTAATTTTTTTTTAATTTAGTCCATCACCATCATCTTTAAAAGTAACATCCTCGTGAGGATGTTACTATTTACAAACTTTTTACAATTTATAAAAACATAAATAATGATAAAACTCATGGTCAGAATTTAAGATAGTTTTCCACCAAGTTCTAGAGCTTATAAAGGAAATGTCTGCCTCAATAGTGTGTCTTGTAGAGCGCGCTTGAAAGATGCCAATGAGGCATTTTTCCTAAGTTCTTTATGCAAGTTATTCCATATGTTGGCCCCTCTATAGGAAAAAGTGCGCTGGCCAGTAGCCATTCTGTATAGTGGAATCTGCAAAGAGTTCCGCGTACGAGTGTTAAGAGTATGTATATTTGATCGCTTGAAAAACTTACTCGTTAAGTATTGAGGCGCAAGACCGTTCTGACATTTATTGACATTTATTGTCCATTTTCACTGCATTAAATTTTGCAGTGGGGAAGGACTAGAAAGGAAAATAGGAACCATTCGTGCTAGTCCACCCTCCCATCTATCCCACCCCACGGGAGGACATCCATCACACAGTAATCTCGTGTGTGGGAAATTAACGTCTCCTACCCCTAACCCTGCAGGAGACGGGACCTCCATTTATTCGTCCTTATCCGAGAAGACTAGAATATCTAACCATTTCTTGATGTTTTAGAAAGGTAGCAAATTCTTCTCAATTTCAACGGTCCTTCCAAATTAAGGATCGTTAAGTTACCGCTGTTGTACATGTCTTACCTCGAGATTTTTGAAGACATTGGTCATCCTGGAGAGAACAGAGAGGTTTTGTCTTTGGTTCTAACATAAAAATGTGAGACCGAAGAAGATAAAAAATTGTTCACCTTATGGATTTTTTTAAATACAAGCTGTTATCTTTAAAAAAAGAATCTAAATCTAAAGTAGCTCGACCAACAGTTGCTTTGTTTACGATTACTTATTCTTCAGGTATAGGCATTGCTTCTATTAAAAAAAAAGAGAGTAGAAAAAGTAAATTGAAGCGTCCATTTAGTGGATTTTCAGCCACAATGTAAACTAACTAAGTGCTTAAAAATTCCCACTGGCAGGAGGTAAACCAGTGGGCTATTTACAGAGCGTAGCCGAGGAGTGGAACTATGGGAAACCGAGAACAAATCCAGTGAGCGGTGGGATGGAGGATTTGAACCCGGGACTCCGGATTAGAAGTCCAGCACCCTAATCACTCGGCCACGCCGAGTGGTTTGTGGAGAATTGTATGTTATGGGAAATACATTTTTTTCAATACTCAGTTGAGATACTGTACTAGATTCAATAAAGTCAGTCAATCTCATTGACAAACCAAAGGCATGTCTATTTTTTTAATCATTTTTTATCGTGTATTATTTTAGCATAAAAGCAATGTTTAAGGCATGCAGCCAGTGTTGGTATTCAGTTATTACTAAAACAGCAGGTGAAGATTTCATTTAATTACTTATTGTAATAGTTATAATTATCATATCTGACCTATCAATCCAAGTCGGCGGCATCCACATTGAGCAAGGGTATAATCTGCTATGCATTGAGAGACGCAGCCGTCCTTCGTGTAGGAACCAAACCCGGGCAGTCTATCCTGTCGGCAGTTCGTTTGGTATGGTGCTGGAAGTCGGATGTGCTTTAAAGGAGTTAAGCAAACTAAAATTATTAATCGTCTCATGTTCGTGAGGGGAAATGTTCCTCAAGAGCACTTTATGGATTTTCATTTCCATGTTTCGTGGACGCAGATTATAGCAAAGTGACTACCGCATTTGAGTTGTGGTCACAAATGGTGCGTCAGTAACTTTGGTTTGGCCAAGATCGTATCTAGAATTTTTGTTTAAAATCATCGATCATCACGTTAATTTGGAGCAATTTTCGAGGTAGGGTCGAATATAGTCAAAAATTGCATTGCTTTTATTTCACTGCACTCCTGTAAGAGAGCTCGCGCCACCTGGTCAGTTAACCAAGTTTAAAAATAGGTCCTAAAGAGAGTGTTCACCTCAGTGTGCCATGCTTAAAGGCCATTTTATCCGTTTAATTGAATTTGAGTTCTCACTGGCCTCTGGTGAGATTCTAGCTATGATCTGAATGACATTCCAATTTTCATTGTATGCTAACTGATGTCCTGGTCAGGCTGATAATTCTGGGAAAGATACTTCTGGGAAGAAAAAGCAAACTCGGAAAAAAAGATAAAATGAAATGAAAACATAGCAAAACTAGTCTAAAACGTCTTGGATAGTCCAGCCTGAAATTCCAAAGATAGTACAACAGTAGGTGAATCATTAATACTTATTCATTTGGTATGGGAACGTATTGAATCATACTAACCTTTCTTAATCTAACTGAAACCGACGAATGTGTGCCAGGAGCGATGTTAAATCCACTGCGGCGGTTGATGTAGGTGTTCTGGTCGTGAACTATTACTTTCAGTCCGCTTGAAAAGTCACTAACAGTGCTTTCATTCGTTTGAACATCTAATAAAATGTTCAATCCTAGTTCGGGACCTTCGATAATAGAATACAGCACTGGAGTGTTGTTGTAACCAGAGTTGAAAGTAAAGCACGAACCGTCCTTGGTAATGGTTGGTATGAAGTCTTTATCGGAACACGAGACTTGCAACATGAAACGACAATAAAGCACGTACATTCCAGCCATGTCATGACCATAGCTGGTGAGAAATTCTTCGTCGTTAAACAGACGGTGAGAGGAACGGTTGAGCGCGTCGATTACGTTTTGGCGTATTGTTGCAGTGCAGCCCTTCACTAGTGCGGGTGCGTACATGTAATAAGCGCAGAGTAACGCTTGCCCGCAAGTGAGATTTCCTCGAGCCTCTTTTATCTCACCACACCCACTTATGTTCAACCCTAGCTTTTTAAAGCTTTCTTAATCGTCAGGCATATCTATCTTGAACTTCATAAACTTGTTCAAGTTGCAGATGGTCACAGCGGGGAATTTAAGGCCATTAGGTGGCACCTCTTGCGTAATTACTGTTTTTACTGGCAGAGAAATGAATCTCTTTATGCTTTTGGTCATAAGAAACACGAAGACTGAAGTAGAGGCACAAAGGAATATTAGCCAAATAACCCTTCTAGGTATGGAAAGACCTCTTTCAAAGATGTACTTTATCCCATGTAGAGTTGTCCTGGATGTAAATGCTTTCCATCGGGAAGAAATAGAATTCTGGGGAGCCCTCACCTCGTCTTTCCAATAATTGGACGTGCCGCTTTCGCTCTCCTGGGCATCATTCATTCTTCTCAGTGTAGAGTCAGAAATGCTGCTTTAGTTTCAGTCCTTTGAATCAATGGAAACAAATATATAAAGATATTAAACTTTCGTCTCAAAACGCAAACCTCAGACTTTCCGTTTTCCCGGTCGGATGCTCCTAAGTTACAGAGAATAATCCTCGCCAAGCTAGCTACGCTTATACCAGGGTTGAGGAAGGTTCTGCCAGACCTGTATTAAAAGGAAATGACTAAGTTACTAACTATTTTTTGCTTGCGTTGAAATTTTTGGGAAATTGATGCTAAAATGTGACTCAAATATGGCAGATGCTTTGGTGTAGAAACCTTACCTTACCTGAAAAAGTGTTGATTCGAAATATATTGTCTTTGTAACCAAGGACGCGAGATTTTCCGAAATTGAAATCGATCTCGTTTTGACTCTGGCCTGTTATTAACTTTACCCTAGTACATCCCGCTTACGATCACAAAATGAGAGGAAAGGACTAAAATTTTGGACATCTTAGAACACTTATTTAAAAAGTAATTAAAATTTAAAAAATATCGAAGAAAGGGAAATACCCAAGAACAATAAGAATTCAGTTTGAAAATTCTGAATCACTGATTTGTCAAAGTGTTTGGCAGGACCAGTATCAAATTTGGCGTGAACTGTTGCAAAACTGATTCAAATGTACATTAAAACTGGATTAAATGGGTGTAAAATGGAGCAGGCGGCCAAATAAATGCTTTAAACATCTTAGTTAACCATTTTGAACCCACCTTGTGCAATTGCAGAAGTTTTGTCGTGGAACATACTATGTTCTGGTGGTTGTTGTCCTCAACGGATTTTCGTCGCGTCTATTAAATTGCTCTGTTCGCCAGGATATCATTTCATATAGGCCTTTTTTTGGCAAACTACCCTGAGCGACGACAGGTTAATGATTCAGACTTTCATTAAAATTTTATCCTGTATACATTTCAGACAATAAGTTGCCAATATCATTTGCATTCGTTTTTTGTTTGTCGTCCAGTTTGTAGGTAGATCTTAACGTAGGATACAGCCCGCTAAAAGATAAATGCACAAATCAATAATTGCGGTGATATTTATATTAACCGAACAGTTTTAATTTTCTATCCCCTGTTACTATCAGTTGCCTGCGCCCTAGATAAATCTGGTTGAGTTGCTTGCCAAGTCCTGTCAGCTTTTGACACCGCTGATCATCAGATCCTTCTATCGAAACAAAACTATTATGGTATACATGGAAAATCTTTCAGATGGTTTCAGTCATATTTGGAAAACCGAACACAAAAATGCTCTGTGAACGGGTCGCTATCCAATAGCTACTCATTGACTTGCGGCGTCCCTCAAGGGACCATCCTCGGTCCATTATTGTTCTTATTATATATCAACGATCTTCCAAATTGCTTATCAAATTGTAAACCGAGAATGTATGCCGATGACACGCACCTCACATATGCGGGAAGCAATCTTGAGAACGTTCAGTTTTGTCTAAATGAAGACCTAGAAAACGTCTTCAACTGGCTACAAGCGAACAAACTCACGTTGAACATGACTAAAACCGAATTCATGCTAATAGGGTCGAGGCAGAGACTGAATACTCTCACAGCTTCACCAACAATTAGAATGAACAATACTCAAGTGAGCCAGGTT